TGAAATTTTCAATGGTAAAGTGGATTTCTCAATTTGACAACAAAAGATGAAGGAAATTTTGGATTAACAAAAAGTTTCAAAAGCCATAGATCACAAATTTTCTAAAAATTTTATAGAAGTACAAAAAGAAGAATATGACGAACTTGCTTATATTTCAATTATTTTACACCCATCTGACATTGTTTTGAAAAAAGTTGAAAAACTTGATTCTACTAAAAAACTTTTGCAAAAGTTGGAAGACTTATATTTGTTTAAGTCTACTCTGAATAAGCTGTACTTGCTCGAAAGATTTTTTAGTTTTAAAATGGATTCTTCAAAGGATCTGATGACAATTTAGATGCTTTTAACAAGTTTGTTCCAGACATTGTTAATTGTGATGAGAAGGTGTCTGAAACCTATAAGGCTATCATTTTGTTGAATTCTATGTCTGATTCATATAGAGAGGTTAAGAATGCGATTAAGTATGATAGGGACACCTTAACACCCGAGATTGTCATAGATTCCATTAGGAGTAAGGAAATGGAGATTAAGGTTGAAGAAGAAGATAAGAGAAGTGGTGAGCTGCATATGATGGAGTAAAATAAAGTTTAAGTAGATGAGTTTGGGTAGTGCTCAAGACAGTAGTGACTCGAGTGATGAGTATGGTAAGAAGAAGGGCAAAATATAATTCAAGTCAAGTGGTAGACGGTGTTACAGGTGTGGTAAGTCTGGACACTTCATTAGGTTTTGTCCCAAGAAGAAGGGTAAGATGAGAAGCAAGACAAATATGGTTTTAAGGTCGAGTGATGACCCTAATGAACCCTATTGAGTGTTACCCTAATTTTTGCATTTGCATCCGTGTGTATTCCTTGCTGCGTGTGTGTGATTATTCAATTCCGTTGCATGATTATATGTTGCATTTCAATGTATTTGATATGTGCATTGGCATGGATTGGAGTGATTTTATTACTTTGTGTAATGTGTTTGCATATATAGTGGGTTTGTGATGCATTAGCAGTGTGTGAGTATGTTTTTTTGGTAAGGTGGAGTATAGATGCCTAGGGGTACATTGTGGTTTGTACTGTGGGATGTGTAATGTGATATTTGGATCACGATGAAGAGGTGATTAAATGTCTGGGATCCTTTTTTTGTGAAAAGACCCTGATCAGGTGGAGTGCGAGAGATGCATTTCTATCACTTCTGTTAGGTGGAGACCCATTATCCACTTAGGTTGGAGAAGTGATGTGGTGATATAGGATTATCCCTATAACTTAGGATCTATAGAGACTTACCAATTAGACATGGTTTGAGTGATTAGTCCAGTGAGCACGGTGGGCGATGAGGTGAGATATGTGTTCTCGAGGTGCGAGCAACACGAAATAGGATATGATAAGTGTGGTGTGATCTTCTTCATGAGGTCATTTATGCATTTGTTGTGTATATGTTGGCCTGTTGATTGACTCGATATTAATCTGTTGTTCTGTGTGAACGTAGTTGAAATGATCTGTATTATCCTATATGATATCTTCATCGCATGTTTATTTGCTCTTGATTGATTGCTGTGATTACGTACTTCTACTTGGGTGTTCTTGATCTTAGTCCTGGTGAGTACATGAAACAGGTATGGTATGTGTTTCGGGTTCGAAACACGAGATAAGGTATGTGATACCAATTTTATTAATTACCTTGACTGTGCGAGTATGAAGTTTGTGTTTTATTTGCTTGCAGATTTATTGGGAATCAAGGTGGAGATTTGTTGGATTTTTTGATATCCAATAAATTCGGGCGATGATTTAAAACAGTTGATGAAATTTTATCAACACCATAGACTTGGTTCGACTCGAATACCACCGACACTTTTGGAAGGCCCAAGTTGGAGATAGATTGATAGTTTGATTAGTATGGGGTTTTGGTTTATTGTTAGGCCAATTTATTGGCATTAAGTTGGCCCATGTCTTTTAGCCCAATTCTTGTGACCTAATCCATTATACATATACCCATTTCTTGTCTAATTATAGTCGTGTGGTGCATGTGTGAGAAGAGAAGAGGACAACCGATTTCTTGGTGACTTTGTGGAGCCATTGTTTCCTTTCTTCTTCTTCGTTCTTTGTGGTTATTTGCATCCACCATTACTGATCATTTGTGGGTTAGTAAGAAGAGAGAATCTTGGAGCAACCAAGTAGATGAAAGTATTTGGGAAAAGCTTGAAGACGTGTGGTGTCGATTGTATTTTTCTGAGCCAGGAATAGAGTTGATTGGAGGCCCCCAAAATCTAACAAGAAATATGCAATATTTTGGATCCTTAGTCATATAAAATGTGTGAATAAAAAATATGTTTGATGTCAACTTTAAAACTGTATAATAATTAAAAATAAAGTTCGAGTTTTTCAAATTTGGATTTGGAATCGAGAGTTGAACCAAGATTGATTGATTCTATTGAGACTACTATTCCAAATTTCAATTTTAAAAACAATATAAAAATTAAAATAAAATTCAAGTTTCTCGATTTAGAATTTGGAATCTAGAATTGGACCAAGATCGATTGATTCCAGTTTTTAATATGCAGAATCAATTAACACAGGTAAAATAGAATCAATTATGCTAGTTGTACAGACCCATTTGTACAAGCATTTTACAGGCAATATTTTAATAGACCAAATGTCGACTTTGTAACAAAAAATGCAATTGAACGACAAAAAATTGGAAAACCCTGACAACAAACGGCAAAAAAGGCAATTGAACCATGACCCTATTTTACCTCAAAATTGGAAAACCCTGACAGCTCATTCCCCATCCCCGATTTTGACCGTATCCTCCAACGACGAGTTCGAAAATTGGCTGAACAGATTCGATGATGACATACCGATCATCTTCTACACCTCCGGCTAACCCATGTGAGTCACACTATTCTGGGTTTATTAGTAATGTGGATTTGTAATTTCCCATTATATGTTGCTTTGAAGTCTATGATTCTTCAATTCGTAATACAAGCCGTGTGTATTGAAATGTTACACAATTTTTATTTGAACTTTCTCAATGCATTCATCTCATATCAGTTCTTTGGTGAATATTTTTCAAGTTAATGTTACAGTTGATCATTAAATTATTCATGTGGCTGACTTGGCTGCATCGTTCAAAGTTCAAACCTTCTCAAAGATCAATGAGAACCCCGAGAGCTTGTCAACGTAGACAAAGATTTAGGCTGCGAAGAGGTGTAGGGATTGCTCTTAGATAAAATTCGGCTAAGTTTCAATAGCACGTAGAACTTTTGACAATGTTTTGTTATCATTCAATAAAAGAAAACACGTTTTTCGTTTTTGATTGTAACTTTAAAATGAGTAACTGGTTTATCTACCATAGAGATTCTAGTTCCACGAGCTTTTGTCCGGAGAAACATCTGTGAACTACACCTAGTAGTATAGCGCGATTGGAATAGAATTAGATCGAATTGACCTACTTGATAGATGAGTAATGCTATTTATCATAATGTGACAACTCATCATCCCTCAAATTTCTCTCTCTTCTTCACTTACCTCTCATAAAAATTGAGTTGTCCAATCCAATTATTTCACATGAATTGCCACATTATCGATCGTCATAATAATAAATAGCACTATGTTTGAAAGATACCTAATTAGTGCGGTACTTTTGTCAACTTGCCCCACTAAAAAAAAAAAAAAAAGAAGAAGAAAGAAAATTTTTAAGCACTCATTAAATTTTAATTCATTTTCTCATCCCATTAATCGCACATTTTTCAATATAATAATATTACACGTAAATTTTTAAAAAAATTACTTCTTTTTTTAATAAAATATTTTCTAAAAAATTATTATTCCTCTTATTATAATACGGAATAAAGGGGCGAAAACGGATGCTTAAAATCTAATTACTAAGGGGCTGTTCTCTTTATATTTCAGTTTGTATTTTGAGTTTTGAATTCATTTTGAGTTTTCTATTTTGAGTGTACATTTTGAAATTATTGAAAATGTATTTTTTGGGCATTTTGAAAAATTATTTTGAATATACCAAAAACACGTTTTGAAAATTTGGTTTAATTATAATTGAAAACACCTAATTTGTCGTTTTGGATTTTTTATGTAAATTTTTAATTTGTTTTCAAAAACGAGTTTTCGAAAATAGGAAAAAGAACACTTTTCCGTTGTTTTGAAATATCGAAAACAGAAAATGTTTAAAAAAAGGTAAAGACAACCCTAACGGTGGCAAAAAAGCTCGGCGGCTCGGACGGCTCGAGCTCGGCTCGAAAAAAGCCTGAACCGGGCCCTTCGGAAAAAGCCCAGGCTCGGGCCAGCCCCACTTTGGGGAGTCGGCTCGCGCCCGGGTCGGCCCGTGGCCAGGGCAAGCCTACTATTTAAAAAAAAAAATTTGAAGTCAGGCAGCAAGCCTGTGCAAACTGCAGGCAGCTTGCACAGCAACAAGCTGCCTGCAGGCAGCAATGCTGTTGTGCAGGCAGCAGCAGCTTGTTGCCTGCACAGCTTGCTACTGCACAGCCATGCAGGCAGCAAGCAGCTTGCTATAAGCTGCTGCTGCCTGCTTGTAGCTGGGGAAAAAAAAAAAAATCCAAGCCGACTCGGCCCGTTACTGCTCGGGCCAAAAGTTCGAGTCGAGCCTCATTTTTTTTGGTCGGGCTCGACTCGGCTCGGCTAGGTCCAAAAAAGTTCGAGCTCTATTCGAGTTTTTTTTTTCGACTCGGGCTCGGCTCGTTCACAGTGCTAGACAATCCACCCTAATTTACTTTAAAACTTGAGGCTACCCAATAATTGTGCTTTTTCACTTCCATCAAAAAAATTTGTGCTTTTTCACTGTACTCATTCGGTCAGATGACTCAGATCCAAAATCCAGCGTGTCCAAAGTAAAATTCATCTAAAATTGATACTTCCACTCCATCTCCAAATCCACGTACTCCATATTAACGTGTGACCACAGCGATTCGACTCCTGTCGACAAACATTCGCTAGGGCACCCAGAAAATCACGGCGTGAAACCACAGAGGGAGAAAAAGGATGGGGTCGCGAGAGAAGGACCAAACGACGTCGCACCATCCACTGCTGAGCAGCCTCGTTATACGTCCCACGGACAGCGTTGGCGGAGGAGGTGCCACCGGTGGCGGTGGTGCTGGAAGCGACTACGAACCAGGCGAGGTGCGTCGTGATCCGCTTCCGTACTCTCGTTCCGATCGATACGCCTCCGATGACCGTGGTTTGTTTCTCTCCTTCTATTATTACTTAATTTTGCTTAATTTGTTAGAATTTTTTCTTAACCGGGTGATTTCCAGAAACCTAGCCCTATTTTTCTTATCCTTTTTAACTCTTATTCTGCTGTGTTTGTTTAGGGATTCGATATAACCTGATTAGTATAGAATTTCATTATTATTATTATTATTTTATTTGATTCTTTAGTGATAGTAATTTCTGTCGTAATATGCAAGTACAAATAATTGTGGAATTTTGAAACAATTGAAAATAAATTAGGCGCTCTATATGTTTCAATTTGGGGCTTTATTGAGTTAGTACGTTGTTTTAGGATTTGTGCCCGAGCTTGATGAGTTCAAGAGCTACTGAGGAATATGCGAGCTACTCAAGCTTGATCACAAATTCAAGTCTGTAGCTCCATTCAAACTCGAGCAAAAAACTTCTACTTCCCGGTGTTTTCTCATCTAAGATAAATAAACAAGCTTGAGTTTCTTTTAATATCAACATAAGAAGAAGATGTGGACTGCTGATCTCTCTGGGAATACACAATATTTCTTTATTGATCTCTTGAAATAGTACTGTTATACAATGCTTATCAGGCAGTTTTGGTGATTTTACCAATTATGCGTGTGTTATTGTCTTTGTTATATTGAGAAGAAATCTGTTGAATTCTCAACATTATAAGAGTTCAATGTTGGTGCCCTTTATATTGAATTGCATTTATTTTACTTTAAACTCTTTTGGATTACAATGGCAAATAAATGTTGTTTCATGGGAATCTTATCCATGATAATGCTTGCGTGCAGCATTTAAAATGCGTAATCGGGTAATGAGGCATCTTGAGGGCGTGTTGATGCGTAAGCCTCACCGTCAGCCAAAAATGTAAAAATTATTAAAATACAAAATAAGTTCATAATACATCATAGACAATCTTCAAAATTCAAACTAGAACGATTCAAAGTGTGCAAACAACAAAGAAAAATATGTAAAGATGCTTTTTTAATTGGTGGGGCAGGGGACGATTCCCAAAGTGGGTCAATAAGAAACAAATTGTTTTTAATGTTTTTCTGGGCAATGGGGCTATTTTCAAAATTGCTTAATCAGAATTTTTATGTATTGTGGGGCCACAAGCCTTGAGGTGCCTCACACAATTGCCTTATGTTCAGCGCCTTAAGGCTTTTTTGCACGTCTCACTCTATTGCGGGCCTTAAGGCGAGTTTCGATTTGGTTTTTAAGACCATGCTGGCCTGTGCTATTTCAGGAAGAAAGTATCTGATTGTCATTGTTTTGCCAATGAATTGTCTAGCTTATGCAAAAATGTGTTTTTGAATTGTGGCTAAATGATCGTTGTTGCATTGAATTCCGAAACTTAAGATGATAATTTTCTAGGATCTGGACATCTGCAGTCATCTGCAGTCACCTATTACATATTTAGGCTAAAATGCATTTAATTAAATTTAATGCTATTATGAGTAAATAGGCATACATTAACACGTTTATGTCTTTTTGATACTGCATTCTTTTATGAGTTTCTTCTTCCTCTTTGATATCCTGTAAATTATAGCATTTGATTCAAATTCTACGAGTCCGTGAATATTTTTGGAGCAATTAATGTCAACTAATGACATTTGCTTTGACCTACTTTATATGTAAAGCAGTCTGTTTCCTCATTTTCAAGGATTGGTGCTTGCAACCTTCTTTGCCAGTGCCTTGTGTTGTGCATCGAAGCAATGTCGCTTATGGACTATTGAATGGTGAATGAATTTTGCTGTTGTTATTTTCTGCCATGAATGTTGACTGGTGCAAGAACTTGGGTCTTGAGGAAGGCATGTTGATTTGGGTTTTAAATGATAACATTACTGGCAAATGAGTTTTGAACTAATGGTATTTCTTCATTGCGAAGCCACGTGGCTTTGTTGCCAAGCCATGTGGTTATACAAATATGTATGAAGCTCTAAGGTTATGGTGAATGTGGTATATGTTGTTTTCTTTTCATGGGATTAAGTTTTGACCAGCCATGCATCTCATTTGGAAGTAAGGCGTGCTGGTCGTGTAAAGGTTTTCATAGAAGACGTGCTGTTTGGTTTAAGCACTCAGATACAACTAATAGTAAATCCGACAGTTGTTAAAATCTCTGTTAAGTTGGGGAACTATTTAAAGATGATGGGTTAGGAATGCAATTGCCACATAAAAGCAGATGCTGGCTGCTGATTGTATCTGATTTGAGTTGGATTCTTAGTATTGGAAATGCTGTTCCTTGAAATTCAGGTAAGTAGTAAATTTCTAGTGTGATGAAGTTTGGGTTGATTAAAATTAAAATGTGTGAATGATTAACTGTGGATTAATTGGACTATTTATAGGCAAAATTTATGTGAGAGCAGACAGAACCGTTACTTCATGGATCACATTATTTTGTACAGTATCTTCTGGATTGACTTAGATTCTGAATTGTACATGGAAAATGGAAACATATAGCGGTTGGCATCTTGGCAAAGATTGGTTAAATGGGGATTGAGCAGATATTTCTTACATTTCGTAACTAATGTTTGGTACGATTTTGTTATCTGTTTTGGGTATGCATGGTTGATTCTCACTTCGGGTATCCTTGACCAAGGTTCTCGGATTTAAATAATTTGGAATGCTATCAACGGTGTGCCTTTGAATGATCGTGTGTAAACTCTGTTTCTGCAATTGGAATAGCGAACGAAGTTTCCATCTGAATGTGGCCCTGGTGTATAACCAAGTATTGGCTTGGTCATCATCAGTGAGTTCTGGCTTTATATTGCAGGGGTGTCTAAAGATAACTAATTTGTAGTGCTTAATGGTTGTCATATTTGATTGCACCATCCAATTTAGCAAAACTTAGCTTGTTTTTGACCCAAGGATCTTGAATCCTGATCTTCTGAGTTGTGGATAATTACAGTGTTTCTTGTTTGGTTCAGTATTTTACTGGTAACATCAAGACATACTTGGGAAGCGACTTCAAGGGAAGTTATTGGCTGGTTTTTACGCTCTTCTACACTAGTGTCTTATTTCTATAGTATTTTTGACGAGGAGATGCTCCCAGTTGTGGTAACTGTTTCTTGACGTACTTCAATTTGTCCTTTGCTTTTCCTGGGTTGCACATTGGCTTGTATAGGACACTGTTCTTAGGTGACTTGTACTCACATGATTGGGTGTTTATAGCTTTGGGCTTCACTGGCTTTTTTCAGGTTATAGAATACGTGCAGGCTCTATTTCACCTGTGCGACGTAGGGATGCAGATCATCGCTATAGTCCTGGTTTTGATCATTCTGCTGCTCCACCACGTGGTCGTGGATTTGGAAATGGGAGAGATCTTGGCAGATATCGGGACCACTCCCCTCCTTATGGCCGTGGGAGGGGTGGTGGCAGGTTTGGTAGGGTGTATGATCGGCCTGGATATGGTCCAGGACCTTTCAGAGGTGAAGGTTTGACAAGAAATAATCCCAATGTTCGCCCAAGAGAAGGAGATTGGGTTTGCCCAGATCCCTCGTAAGTCCTTCCCTTTCTCTGTTTGTCTGTATGTACTTGTTTACCCTTGCCTTTCGACTTGATCTTTCTGGGATTTTTCTTAATATGCTCGTCTTGACAAATTAACACGTTTGAGCTAAAATGCTTTTGCATTTTCTGTTGGAAGATATGTCTGCAGATTCATTTAATCCAATATTAATTTGGAGCATTACACTTGCTCATGGAAATAAGTTGCTTTTAAGGATGTCGTGGAGCTGTGTGCACACATTTGCATATATTGTATCCCTCAACTTAGCATACATTTTCTCCAATTACCCCCGCATTCACTGACAAAATTAAAATAAAAATACAATTAGAATTAAAAAAAAAAAATCTGCTGGCCATAAACGATCGGCATTTATGATTTGCTATTTGCTTTTTCCTGCATGAAGTTCCTTTTTTGTTCAAGAGGACCATTTTCAGCGTGTGCTTGGTGGGAGGAGAGAATTTCTCCAGCATTTATTCACAGCTGTGTTCATATTGATTTAAAACTGGGGGAGGCAAAATGAAACAGAAATTTTTTCTTAGCATTTGAGATGTGGTGATAGGGAAATGGAACTTTGTGGTTTTGTATTAATGCTATTCTTTCATATTCAGTTTTTCTAATATTAGCAACCTACTTTCTTGTGTCTAAAGCAGTTTGTTTGATGTCCCAGCTGTAAAAACTTGAATTTTGCTAGGCGTGAGCACTGCAACAACTGCAACAGGTTCCGTTATGCACCTGCTGGGAGTCCTAGGAGGGGTTATCCCGGTCCCCCGCCACCCGCTCGTCGTTTTCCTGGTCCTCCAGTAGATCCTTCTCCAGGAAGGATCATGAATGGCTATAGGTCACCTCCTCGTGGTTGGGCCAGAGACGGTCCTAGAGATTTAAGAGCTGCTGCCCCTCCCAGAAATGTAGGCAGATTCCCTGAGCCTCCAATCCGTAGAGATGAACCGGATTTCCCTGTAAATGACTTCAGGGATAGATACAGGTTTGATAGACCAGTACCACTAGATTTGGACCCCAGAGCTCGTGGAAGGGATAGCTTCATTAATGAGAGGAGAGGGGGATATGAGAGGCGACCACTTTCTCCACCTCCAGCAGCACCTGCTCGTGGCCAATGGGCTCGAGATATTAGGGAAAGAAGCAGGTCTCCTGTTAGAGGTGGGCCACCACCTAAAGATTACCACCGCGATGTATTCATGGATCGGGGCCGAGATGATCGGCGTGGAATGGGACGGGAGGCATTTTAGCTGGTGGTACCAAAGCCTCACAGATAATCTGTATGTTGTGATTTTTAGAGAGGAATGTTGCACAAGTACTATTTATTTATTTTCTCTTTGCGTAAAGTTGCATGTGCTTTGTGTTGAGAGTTAACTAAGAATCATGTCATGTTAACGTCTTGATTACTGCTCAGTATGTTCACGGAGGATCAAAATTTTTGCTCTGCAGTTTTGTGCTTGTTAGTCCAGGCTGTTCTATGATAACTCGAAATTCGCAACTGCTTTTGTCAATTGTGTATGCTCCAGCCTTATTTAACCATTGTTTGAGTCCCATTTTTGGTTTAAAATGGGCTTTGAAATAGTGATTTTTTGAAAAGTGTGCGGTAATGAAAAGTTTTTGATTTTCGTATGAAATTATTTTTTATAGGAGAATGTGGTTGAAAATGAGTGAAAAAAATTGGAACCCAAACATAGGTTTAATATCGTAGGGCATGCGATGGGACATGCTTGTCAATGTCTTTATTTTTACTCTTGATTCATTGTTATCTCAAATCCTTGGAAAAAGGGCAATTCTTGAATTTGATTGGGTTACTTGTGAATAGAGCATATTTACTTAAAGATCGGGCGTAACAGTAAAGAAAGGATGGTGTATTATGTCCTGTTTGATGGTCAGTTTTTCTCATAGTGATTTTTTTGAGATTATGTGACTAAAGTGTAAGGAAAATTTTTGGATTTACATGCAAAATATTTTATTGTGTGAATATGTGATTGAAAATGAATATAAGAATTAAAGGGTTTGATCTAAACATGGGCTAATTTACCTTATTCCACAAAAGTAACTAGGATATATATATATATTTTTAAAAGGAATCATTTCATTAAATCAAGAAAGCAAATGACGAATGCAAGGGGGGGAACCTCCAACACAATTCTTTCCTCAGAGAGTTTTAAGTGCTTCCTTTGCTAAAGAATGAGCTACAACATTAAGTGACCTGGGAACATGAGCAACATACCAGGAATCAAAATTCCCAAGCAAAGTTATCGTGTCCTCAATCACAAGACCAGGATAATTGCAGAATTCGGAATCTCCATTAATGCCCTTCACAACATTCAGTGCATCACCTTCTAAAAATATTGACCTGAGCTCAAGTTGAATGCAGAAAGACACCGCTACCAGAGCTGCGCTGGATTCTGCCAAAAATGCATCCGGGAGCCCTCCTCTTTGGCACATCAATGCCTGTTTAAACTGTCTCGACCAATCTCTGACAACAATACCAATTCCAATTCGACCCCTTGATGCATCAACCGCAGCATCCCAATTAATCTTGAATGAATTTTGAGAAGATGGTGATCGAAGATGGGGAGCATAGGCTCCTCTGGTACAATGATTTCCCGGATGGGAGTTAGCTTCCCTGAACTTGAGAGCGTTCTGACTGGCCTTGTTCAAAATGGTTGCTGGGCTATCAAAATTATTCTCAAAGACAAAAACATTCCGCCTCTTCCAGATTAGGTAGATAGTAGCTAAAAAGAGCTCCATTTCCTCCTCAGACAACACATTGAACAAGTGGCTAACCAAGTCCTTGAAATTCCATGGCGAGAAGGATATTTTCTGAATTCTTCGAGTGCTTGTGCCCCAAACATCTTGAGCCGAAATAGACAGCCACAACGCATGGAGAGCAGACTCCTTATCACAATTGCAAATCGGGCATAAAGGCAACTCTCTTATCTTTCTTCTGTGAAGGTTGAGGTTTGTAGGTAGTGAGTCGTGTGTGGCCCGCCACAAAAGCATTTTCCTCGCGTTCGGGGCCTTAAGTTTCCAAAATTTTCTCCAAACCTCCTTCTGATTGTTACTATAAGAGCATTGACCCGATGACTCCTGTTTCACCTAACTGAGCATATGATAAGCGTTACGAACTGTAAATTTACCATCCTTAGTGAACCTCCAAATGAGTTTATCCGGAGAACCACAGATACTAATCGGGATCTTTGTAATGAGATTGGCATCCGATTCAAAGAAAATATCAGAGACTAGCTGCATATTCCAAGATTTAGATTCCACATTGATAAGTTCGCACACTATCATTCATAAACTGATAAAACCTGGGTGGGTGAATTTGCGATATAGAAGCTTGGGGAATCCATCTATCCTTGCCAATAATCACAGATGCAACGTTACCAATGCGCCAAAAGGCTCACTCCCTCAATACCTCTTTTGCTTCTGTAAGACTCCTCCAAAGGTAGGATGCATTGCTTCCGATTTTGCTACTCAAGAAATCTGATCTACAATAGTATTTAGCTTTAAGTACCCTCGCAGCCAATGAAGTTGGTTTTGGATGAGTCTCCAGCCTTGCTTTGCCAAAAGAGCTAAGTTAAAAAGCTCAAAATCCCTGTAGCCAAGACCACCCACCTCTTTAGATTTACCCAGGATGTCCCATGTGAGCCATTGTGTTTTGGATCTCTCTCCTCTACTACCCCACCAAAAATTCTTTACAAGCCTGGAAATGCCCTGAAGAATGGTTTTTGGGAGCTTGAAAATAGTCATACAACATGCAGGGATAGCTTGGATAATAGCCTTGATGAGAACTTCCTTCCCTGCTTGAGACATAAATTTCACTGTCCAACTGTGCATTCTACTTCTGATCGAATCAAGGATCGGTTTAAACACGGACAATTTACTCCTACCAACATATGCCGGCAGACCCAGATATTTCTCAAAAGACTTTGCTTCTTCAACATTGGCAGCATGAAGGACAGCAGACTTGATCTCCTGCTTGGTGTTATTGCTGAAAAAAATGGATGTCTTGTCCAAATTCAAGCGTTGTCCAGATGCATGTTCATAGAGTTTCAGCAGATAGGTTAGTCTCCACCATTTCCAACACGTTGGCTTTGCAGAAAATAAGACTGTCATCAGCAAAGAAAAGGTGGTTTACCAGCATAGTGCATCTTGCAAAAGGGAAACCAGATATGAGCCCCTTCGCCTCCGCTTTGTCAAGCAAACTTCCAAGAACTTCAGAGCATAGAATAAATAAGTAGGGGGAGAGAGGGTCCTCTTGCCTTAATCCTCTCGAGGGGCGAAATTGGCTTTGTGGTTCAGCATTGATAATCAAGGAATATTTCACCGTTCGAACGCATTGCATGATTAGCTCTATCCACCTCTCACCAAATCCAAACTTCCGTAAAGCCATTTCCAGAAAGCTCCATTCGATACGATCGTAAGCCTTACTCATGTCTGCCTTCAATGCCATATATCCTTCTTTCTTGCCCTTCACTCGATACTTCATGGAATGCATAGCTTCATATGCTACAATGATATTGTCTGAAATTAGCCTTAAATGCATGATTTTTATTAAAATTTTAAAATATGATATTAGTCCTTTTGGATAAGCTAGTTGTGTCTATGATCTAGAATTGTCTCCTTGCTTGACTCGTGCCACCCTGAGTTCATGAGTCGGGTCAAGTGCAGCAAGTAAAGCCCGTGGGCTTTGTTACTCAGCTCAGGAGCTCGATTCATTTTCATTCTTTAAGATTTTATTCAAGTCCATTGGTAGTTGGAAACATGAAATTTTCTTAAACGTGCAGAATTCTTCACTATCCTAGATTGTCTCATTTCTCTTGGAACTACGACTGTATATAGGTACTTGGGAGTAGGGGTGAACATGGTCCGATTCGAATTTAATTATTGAACCGTTTGAGTTTGATTCCAGGATTTTGTACAATAATTAAATTTTTTTATATTACAACAACGCTAATTAATTGGACTGTGTCATATTCAATCTTAACTTTTATAAAATAACTCAGTTCAATCTTGTGCTATTTTTTGCATATCTCTTTGTTGAGTTTTTCATAAATTTGATTGTTAAAATCACAAGAAGAGGAAGATGATTACTTCACAATAATAGAACGATAGAAATGATACTATGGTAGAATAAGAGATTTGAGTAAAATTAGGTCAATTTGATTAAGTTGAGTTTTTCTAAAAATTAGAAATAGTAAAATCATATTTTGGGTTTGGACTAAATAAATTAGTTAGCAATTTATTTTAAAAAATAAAATAATTTGACTTATTTAAGATAAAAAATTAGAAAAATTCGGTTCTTATTTGATTCTTGGTCTAGAACCGAGAATGGAATCAAATCCAACCCATCAGTTCTCGATTTAGATATNTACAAAGTAATTGGAGTAAAATCTCTTGATTTTAAAATAGTGTAAGCATGTTTGGCTAGCTGAAATAATTTTTAAACAAAAGTTTTAAATTGAGTCGCTTTTTTTATAGATTAAAGTGAAAAATAAGTAAAATAAGAATTACTTTTAATAAAAGTATAAATAAAATCACACAACTGTTTGGAAATACAAGTAACTTTTTAAAGGGAACAATACATAACTCCTAATTTTAAAGATTACATTTCATAAAGAATAAACTCATTAAAATATTTCAAAAATTAGGTGGTAAATAAATTTATTAAATATTAAAATATAATATACATTAATTATTTTTATCAATGCCACCTCACCTATAACATCCTATTACCCTACTACACCACCTTTCCTCCACCTCTCAACCGGAGACGGCTATCAACTCTGGCTGCCTCTCCGGCTACTTCTCAAGCGGTTGCTCCGGTGACTTCTCCAATGGTTACTCCAGTAACTATTCCGATGACTGTTCCGACGGTCGCTCCGGTGACTTAAAGATTTCTGGAAAATTAAAAATTGAAAATCACACCCCCACCCCCATGGATCCACCTATCACCACCCCATCCTTGCCTCCACCTCCTAAAAAATTATCGACAAAAAACTTGTGTTCGGTGTGACTGTATGTGACTAATTGTGACCAAGTGTATATTCAATATGACTAACTGTAGCCAAATTTGTGTTGAGTGTGACTGTTTGTGACCAGGTCAATCTCAAGTCACAATCGGTCACAATCAACACAAAATCAGTCACAATCAAACGACTGAGAATACGATGACGGTGGTCGAGCATTATCCTTCTTCGGTGCCATTGATAGGGGAAACATGAGTTGAGGTTAGAGA